AAAAAAACTCTCTTATACATACACAGTGAGACTCGACAGTGCATAGCTTTACTTGAAGATTCAGTTAGTGTGCTTCTTCACTGCTTGGAGATTGTAAATAAAAATGATGTTGGTGAAAGAAAGTTTTTTGTATGGGAAGTAAGAGAGGCAGTAAAATGCGCCAGTAGCCTCCGAAGAGTGTATGAAGAGGTATGTTTCTATATATGGTCTTCTCAATCTGAACATCAATAAGTATCATTTTTCGAGGTGGATATTATGGCTGCAATTTTCAGGATGATTTTTCAATTAATTCTGTGGCTGTTATTAATTGGATGTCAATTATTAAATTTCTCCTCTTGCTATTAACAACCTCTCCTCTATCCTCGCCTTTTGTTCAGGTACGGCAGCAAAAAGAAGCATTTGGGCGTTGTTCATATCAGTTTTTGTCTCGCTACATTTGGGTTTATTGTGGATTTGGCCCAGCTAAAAACGGCATCATTAGGTACTTATGATCAATCATTTTTTCAAATCAAAAATCTAACTCAAATTTAATTCAATCTAACCTTCCTCAATATTATCAATTTAATTAAATAATATCAATCAATTCAATCTAACCCTACTCAATATTACCAATTTAATTAAACAATATCAATCATTCATCCTCACACATTACATCAACTGTAATTCATTATCTATCCACTCACATAATTTTAACGACCCATCATTTTCAATCACCTATCTCTTACTTTTATATCAAATCAACTTTAATCATTTTTTTTAAATATTATTTAATACACTCAAAATTTCACTCAAACCAAGCTCTAGAGCTGTTAAATTAAACGAGCCGTTTGTGAGTTCAGCTTGAATCGGCTCGTTTAGAGCTCGAGTCATTGAAAGCTCGTTCAGTTAATGAGCCGAGCTCGATAAGGCTCGAGAAGATGATTTTTATGTATTTTTCTATAGTTTGACTCGATTTTGGCTCGAGTTCCGCAAGCTCAAGCTCGAGCTATAAGCTCATTTAGTTAACGTTTACCCCCCTAAACTTAACCCAACCACTTTTTTCAAAATTAACTCTGGTTAACCAAAAATCAATCAAAACTCAAATTGATTTATATCCACCCCTTAACATCCCGTCTTTCAATAAATTTGTGATGATTTTTAGATTTCTTTTTCTTATTCAATAGACATAACGTAAGACTCAACTGCTTGTACCAACTCTAGATGCTTTTCTTGACATTTTTTCAGGGAAGTAGACGAAGCTTTGAAGCCCGGTGTATATGCATTGATAGACTCATGCTCACCAGATGATCTTCAACTTCTTCATACTGTATTTGGAGGTGAGCATTCCATGCATAACTAATAGCGTTCATTGCAAAAAGTACCCTGAGATTTTGTGAAGAAGNAAAAAAAAAAAAAAATGAATAGGGCTCTAAGTTATCTCCCAAACTTACAAATACGTCAACGACGTGTGTTTATCTTCTACAAATTGCATTTTGTGAAATAAAATGGGATTTTCACTTTATTAGTTACATCTCGTTGGTAATTTGATTTATATCTAATTATGATTTAGATATAAACCTAGAACAACTTATTTTATACTGCATGGATGAACTGAAATTTGCTTTTCCAACTTTGCTCTCTATAGAGGGTCCTTGCAGAACTACTCTTGCAACACTGCAGCACGACTACAAGATCAATTTCCAGTTCGAAGGGAAAGTTTAATTTCACTCCTAACATTATACAAAAGGATAAATTCCTTTTCTTTTTTCCCCGTTAGTTCCATGGCCGTCTGAACTTCAATATGGAGCTTGTCAGATTTTGCCCGTCACCTGTGGAGGGGATGAACTGATCATCAAATTAAATTTTTCGTTCATAATATCTTCTGGAGTTCGCCTTTTCTGTTACGATCTGAAAAAGAGTGTGCAAAATGCAAACGTTGCCAGTTAGAAAAAGTCTAAGGGTGAGATGATTTGATTGCTACAAAGCCTACACTTCAGGTACATATGGTGCTGTTAAAACGAGCTTGGCTCGTTAAGGCTTGAGCTCGAGTTAATTTAAAGCTTTTTTTTGTTAGTTCTGCTCGATAAGACTCGAAAAAAGATTTTTTTATATAATTTTCTAGAGTTCAGATTGTTAAAGCTCAAGATCGGCTCGTTAATAGTGATAACAAGCCGAGTTCGAGCTCGTTTATTAACGAGCCGAACTCGGCTCGGCTCGTTTATCTGCCTTGATCTACTGGTTATTGATCATTTGATCCCACTGAAATAAGGATAAGTGTTTAACCAGCTAAAGGACAAGGAAATATTTTTTTCTCCAAATAAATAAGATCTATGCATTGACTATTTGTTCCCTTAACCTATCATGAACTGACACGTGTTTGTAATATAGAGGACTTGGATTGAAAAGGATATGATAAATAATTGGTCAAATGACGGGATTTGTTACCAAATTCAGATACTAGAAACATCTGATTTGAATGAAAAGCTATGTTTTTGCCAGATCGACATGACTTTTTGCATAAAATTATAATATTAGATGAGATATCATACTTTGTAAAATAGTCAAATAATTATTTTATGTTATTTTGTAAAACATAATATATAAGGAGTGAGACTGATTATTAGAAAATTGTTCACCTATGATCGCAATTCAATGAAACCAACACCGCCCCACGTTAGCTATGTTTGGTTAATCTCATGTCAGATAAGTCAGTGGACTAGAATTGCTTAGCCCATTATTTTTTTTATTTTTTCTTTAAAATAATTACTTTCTCCGGTGCAACTTAATTCAGTAGGCTGCACCACACCCTATCACACCTCACACATCCCCACTGCTATAAAATCAGTTGGACCATTCTTGAACTGCTCCTTAGAACCAGTCCACACATAGAAAAAACCCAATTTCTCACTAAAATAAAATAAATAAATAATACCTCTAAATTCATACTCCCTCACTCAAAACTCAACTCACAAAAAGTCACAAAGATGTACTACAAAAAAACCACATCCTCATCAATTTTCGACGCTTTCTCCTTAAACCCTATGCCTTACCCAGTCCTCCTACTGCTGGCCGTCATCTCCATCCTCCTCGGCCTTCAGTGGTACGTCTCCTACGAGTCCGCCGTGGAGGCGGCGGAGGAGGGCTTGGGCTGGCTGCTCATGGCGGCGCCGCTCGTCCTTCTGATCGCCGTCAGGTGGCTCTCCGCCTCCGACCCCCCCTGCTGGTGGCTCTACGCGCCCTGGGACAGGCGCCGGAGGGACTACTACCTAGGCGCCGTCGCCGGAGACGGCGGAGGCTCGCCGTGGGTGGTGGCGGCGCTGATTGTGCTGCTGCTCGTGCTTGTACAGTTCCAATCGACTTTTCTCGAGGGCTGGTTCATATGATTTAATTTTAAAAAACAAAAAAATAGATTTGAGCATTTACTTTTTACTTTTTGCTAAAGTTTAGGGGCTAATTTTGTGTGTGTATCACTTTATGTCATGTGATTTTTGTACTGTACATAGCTATCGAGTTAATTAAAAGTCTATGCCTATGGCTGTTGGTTGTGTTGTCAATATGAATTCAGAGCTTAATTTTTTCCTTTTCATTTTTTTTGTTCGGCTTTTTTGTTTTTTTTGATGTTTTTTATTCTTGTTGATAAATAATGGTCCTCTGTCATGATTTGAATAGCATTATTTCTTGGAGCCATAGCTCCATAAAAGAGAACTGAAAGGGATAAGAAACTGTGCTCTTATAAAAATCTTCAAGTAACAATTATGGTTTATTCATAATTTTGTGCTGAAAATTTTGATAGTGGGGAACACCTAAACTAGTGGAGTGGATATAGTTTGAGTGCAAATGTGCAATTATTACATCTTTATCTAATTCCCAAGATTATATTAATTGTACCATTTTATGCCTACCAATGGGCATGGTGTTAGGTTGAATGTGCTACTATTTTGACATGGTTTTTATATAATATTCATAAAATAATGTAAAGTAGTTAATTCTTGTATGAGGCTAACTGACAGTTGGGTGATTTGGGTCCATTCATCATTTTTCTTTACAAAAATTATACTTAAATATGACGTGTAATTTTATTTTAGAATGTTATTTCACAGTCTGTCTACTTAATGATGGATATAAGATGTTTTCATTTTGTTTAGATTTTTTAATTTGGTATGATTAATTTTAAAAAAAGTAGTATGATTAGTTGTTAATTAATTTTGAGTTTATATTAAAATAAATTTTAAAATAAAATAATTAGAGTTGATTTGGTGTAAAAGTAAGCATCAAAGTAAGATAGATATGTGAAATGATGATTAGTTAAAACTATATGAGTTGATGAATAATGAAACGTAGGTATTTTAAGATGAGTGCGCTCAATGTTGTTAGAACACAAATAAACAACTAGAATAGCGGAAGCAATAAACCGAAGATTTTAAAAACTTTTCAGGGAAGTGTCCCACTTCCCCTCAGAACTCTTTCATTGATAACTCAATTGTGCATATGTGTATAGTTTTGGAATTACAGCAACTAGAACTCTCTTCTAGCCTAACCAACAACTATACTCGAATCTACCAACTACTTCTCCGGCCACGTCCCGTGGACTTTAAATAACATTTAATCCCTAAGTGCTGATCACAATAATGTTTGAAAAACAAAGAAAATAAAACAAAACGACTTCAGTTCTTCGATATGTAAGAACACCGAAAACTGAACTGAGAACTAAAATAAAAGAAGACTTGAAGCTCGAATAGTATGTGAATAATAATGATCTCAGCAGCCTTGATTCGATCTTCAAGTAGGGTATATATACAACTCCTTAGGCTTGGAGTCTTCTCCAAGTTCTTTCATTCTTTCACGATTTCCTTTGATCTTCTTCCTAAAAATAGTGTAGTAATATGGAAAGTAAATCTTCCTTGATTGTATGTGATTTGGAGATCTTCAGAATTGAGTTTCCAATGGAAGTCTCGTGGTTCCAGACTCGTGTAAGAACACAACTTTCCTAAAATAGCCGATCTTCCAAATCTTCAAAGATCTTGTAGTGAATCTTTCCAAATCCTCTTTACATCTTCTAGATAACGTCCATAATTCCTTATGCACGAATTGCTCATCCTTTCATAGTCCTTGCCACATATTCCTTGTCCTACAAGATAGAGAAAACTAATTATGGCATAGAATCAAACTCATTAATGCATGTGGCATATATGGTAAGTAAATATATAAGATATATATTATGTAATCCTTCTCCTAAAGGTTTAGGATTCCATAATACATATTATAATAAATATTTAACATATATTATTAATAATAAATAATAGAAACTTAATTAATTAACAAGTAATTAAATAGAAAACTTCTCTTTATTTTATTTTGTTTGCCTAACAAGAAAATTTTCTAGAAAACACTTAGGTTTTTCGGATGATGTCAAATCAATATTCTTACAAATAATAAATTAAAGTTGATGTAATATGTATGAATAGTTGAGCGGTAATATTCAATTATATTAATAATATTGAGGATAATGAAATTGAGTAAAAATTAATTAGATTTGAGTTAAATCTAACTCCACTTTGCACATCATTAATTTTGCAAGAGTATGTGAATGTTAACGAGCATACGCAGCCAATAAATAGTTGCAATAATTTATGGCAAGCCATGCTACTATCAATGAAGTTCCATACAAGCAACTTTTTTTTTTTTCTTTTTTTTATTCCACAGTTATTTTTCCCAGCTTTACAAAGCGTGACAACTGACAAGTCTTTTTTTCATCAAAACTATGAAAAAAGCAATAATCCACAAAAGATGCATGCATATTGCTTAACTAGTAAGTTTGTCAGTGCATGTGTATTTTGTTCAAGTTCGGTCAACCTTTCAGAACCTCACCGAAAGCGTCAAGTAAAATAATGCTGTCCTTGGTATCAATAATATGTTTTCTTTTATAAAACCAAAGTATTCTGTAGATAATAGTTTTATTTACTGAGTTGACTCAGACATTTACTGTACAAGGATAAGAGCCCTATGTTGACTAGAGGAGACAACCGAACTCAAACCTTAACGAGCATAATTTTGCACAAAAATCTATATTTTCAAGCCTTAACGAGTTCGAGCTTAACTCATTAACTAAACGAACTCGAAGACCACTCGTTTATTAGCTTTTATGTAGAATGTTGACTCACTACAGCACATGAGAAAGGAAAACCTGAAAAAATTGGCAACACAGAGATAACAAGATAATGACAAATCAAACCTAAACTATAAGCTGGTGGAAGGTAATGAAAATGATCAAGACCGAGGCGTAAAAACCTTTTTTACAAAATAAAATAAAATCAAATGTTCAGGTGGCTATAACTTTGTGAGATAACAAAACAAGTCATGGGAAAAGCCTTAAGACTAGCCGTCTAGCCCTAGCATGGCATGATGATCCCACAATTTAAGAGTGCAACTTATACATTATTAGGCAAGTAAAACTATGTGATCCTGTTACATGACAGCAATTCATGTTAATACCCAAATGGCTCGTAAATTTAGCCAAAAGACACTCATACTACTACAACACGTACTCTGGCCGTTTAATTTTTCACATGGATCCAAAAATCATGCAGTCACTTTCTTGGCTGTCACGGAGTTGATAATGGTTGCAAATTCAGGACCCTAAAAAACCAAATCGTCGAATCAGAAGAGCTTGAAAAAACCCACGAAAAGTAGGAAAAATAAAAAGGTCAAAAACAATGACAAAAACTTTGCATCAGACAGCACATCATGGGAAGTGATCCACCAAATGAAGGAAAAAAATTTAACTTTTTTAGTTCTATTGCTGAAAATTTTTAGCAATCTAATACATTTTTATTTCATCTGATTTTTTCCACGACAAATTTATAACTTTTTGGGTGTTTTGGGTCTTTAGATTTTTTGTTTGTTGAAGGTTTCATTTTGCCTTTTTGAGCTCTTTAACTTTAATTCTACTTTCTTCAACTTTCTTTTTTTTTTCTTCTTTCATTTTTGGGTAATTCTAAAGTTATTTTTTATTTTTATCATTTAGTTTTAGGTGTGCTTGGAGACTAGCAATCAACGTGCCAGAACCGTGACTTTTGCTCCTTTCTCTTTTGCTCCAATCTCTTCCTTTTGTTTTGAGCCCTTTTTGTGTTTCTCTTACCATTGGTTCTCTTGGGTTTCATCTCTAGCCTACCCCAACNAAAACCAAGACTATTCCAGCAAGCTCACATAATCATGTTTTCGCACTAGCAATCCTCAGATGAGTTAAACTTTGGAGGCATGCACTTATTTCCATTACTCGCATGGGTAACTAATGTAGTTAAATGGCAGTCAAAAGAGTGTAATAAAATTGAGATATAAGCTAACCTCCATAGATAATGCGCGTTTTAGAAGCAACTTTTGCTGACACGTTCTTACTCAACCAATCACGAACAGCAACGTGCACTTCCTGAGCCTGCTCGGGTGAGGTCACCTTACCGGTTCCAATAGCCCATACAGGCTCATAGGCAACAACAATGTTATCCCAACTTGGGACAGCATCTGCACATGATCAAACCCATATGAATAGTGAAATAGTGAATCACTTAAGAACGAAATTCTTTTATAATATATATATAGAATGTGGTTCAAATGAGAACCAAGTCTTTGTAGTGTGAGAACCACTATTTTTTATTGTACGCAGTGCTATTGATTGTGTTTTAGTATTATTTTTAACCAGGATCTATTTTATTAAAAATAGCAACACAATTTATATTAGCATTTGTCAAGATGATAGCAGGATGTAATATTAAAAATAGCATCATACACAATTAAAAATAACATCAACTACGGTTATCACACCACGACTAGTTTTTATTTGAACTAGTCATGGTGTGAGAACGCTTAATTGTGTATGATGTTATTTTTAATATTATACGGTGTTATCATTTTAACAACTGTCAATATAAATTGCGTTGCTATTTTTAATAAAATACATTATGGTTAAAAATAACACAAAAATACAATCAATCGTAACACTACGTACAATGAACCACATCCTATATATATAAAGAGAGAGAGAGAGAGAGTCTGCACGTGCTGGCATAAGCCTTCATCTGTTGGAAACATACATCAAAAGTTTTCCCAGCTTCTCTCTCTTCCAACAACTCGCCAATGCAGGCTATTACTCCAAGACCCTCGCTCAAGGCATATGCAGCCTTCTTACCAATGAACTACAATAGGTAGAACTTGATCAAGCTTTGAAACATATAGCAACATTGGCAAGAACTATAAAAGTAAGTTGCAAGAAGAAATTTTTTTTATTCATTTTCCTAAATAATTTATGCAAAAATGGAAGAATATTTCAGCTTCTCTCACTTGGTCACCTTCCCCGATTAAATGTCTCCTCTCAGAATGCCCCAGAACAACCCACTTGCAACCAAGGTCCTTCAGTGTTCTACGCTGCAATATATACACGGGTTACTGGAAATTCCATGTGAAAGAAAATGCAAGAGATTTCATCAAAAGAAGCAAATAAAATATAATATTGCATATTTACATACAACGAGTCTAATGAGCAAACAGAATTGCAGGTAAGCAGAATACATAATTATCAGAGCATCTTTAATGATGACGGATTTGTTATGTGGCACATTAATAGGCTGTGCCTCATATTGATGTGGTGGTGGAGTAGAGTGCACCATTTTTATTTATCACTTCTATGCACAATATTTAGGAATAAAAGAAACTTGAATTTGAAAATGAAAATAATTTATTTTGTGAATACAAGTTCCACTTTATTTTGTTTTCACTTTGCATCCACATGACTCGCAAGACATTTTCAAAGAAGAAGCTTTCTTGAAATTAACAAAGTCCATTTTGCTCATGTGTCAAGCACTTTTTACCAAACATTAGCGATGCTCTTATAGCAGCTAGTTGCATCACGTATGACTTAGAGCATAAAAACTGATTGAATCACCCATTAAGGTCAATAGAAAAAACATATGGTTTGTAGCTAGCCCATTTAAGGCTGAACAAGCACAAACTTCAGATGGTTTTAAACTTTTAATAGATCACAAACATGAATTTCCAAATAATAATAACCAACAAGTGCCAATACCACCCACCTAATTTCTCCAGTAAAACCACCACCTTTTCCAGTCCAACAATTCTGAGCAGCTATCTCTATCCGATCGACTAACGAGTTCTTCACTTGATCAATGTAAACAAAAGGAGGCGCTACAACTACATCTGCAATTGTTTAAGGTAAATTACTCGATTTCCTATCCACTATGTGGAATATGGATAAACCAAAACCAGAGACTCTCTAATAAAAAAAAAAAATTCCAAGTACAACATGTTAACACAATTTATTCATATGAATGACAAATATAAGTAGAACAAAGAACTTTACCAACATCAGATTCCAGTGTTGCACTATTTAAGTCAGAGACAAGCTTGCTTGTGGTGTCTGTAGTCCCATTCTAAGGAAAAATGTACAGAACATGCCATGAGGACGGGCAAAATTAAAGGTCGAAAAGCAAGAACCAAAACAAATGCTTCATAACTTAAATTAATTATCTTCAAGCAACAATGAAATCAACAAATAAAAAGCTGCAGATCGAGAAAATTAGGGAGAAAATCAGTACTTACACATTTCCAATTTCCACCAACAAAGAACTGCAAGCAATTAAAAGGAAACAAAAACATACAATTAGAATAATAACAAAATAAACAATGGCCAGTTTGTCAGAATAACCCATTAACACGTGCTAGCACAGAAACATAAAACTTGGTTAATGCTGAACAGTTTCATTAATGTTACAGAAGCATTACCAGATGAAGATGCCATCAAAGACATTTTATTAACTCAAAATTGGCCATAAATTAACACAAATTCTTGTGTGTGGCCGCCCAACCGTTAGGCAGGTTGACTCATCACTTTTTTCCTAATAATGCGTACTTGTGCTATCTAATGGTTAGACGGTCGATCCATCATACATTCTTTTATTAATAAAATGAGTAGTTATGCTATGAAATGGCATACTTTTATCTTGTTGTTGTTTAAAGTATGTCATTTCGTTTTGATAGCATGCACATAGAAAAATATGACTGCTTAACCTTTATGTCTGCAAACACAGCCTTATTGATAAATTAAGCTATAAATTTCTAATAATTCAATTATCAGATTTACTTAGATAAACCTATATTTAAATTTCCAGAACTGAAAAAAAAAAAAAAATTCTACGCAATAAACCTATATTTAAAAAAATAAATACCCGGCTCGATTCCGGATGAGTCGGTCCCCTAGGGGATTCGGAAACCGGAAGGTTCATTGTACCAAAAAAAAAATTAAATAAATAAATACCCAAAATACAAAGATGAAATGAGGACACTTTTCCGGAGCCAGCCATGGCGACGACGCCACGGCAGACTTTACTCGTGGGGGCGAGGCGGACATGAGCGTCGACAATTTGGAAAATCGATTGAGTTGAGTTCGAATTCGAACTGTCGAGCTTGAAAAATGATTTCCGCAGACCGGAGAGCCGATTCAGGTGGCTGTTGGCGGCGGCGGCGAGCGAGGAGGAAACTACCGCCATTGCTGAACATTGTACCGTAGCTGAGTCAACTCAGTACTATATCCCTATCTAGAAGACTGGAACCACTCTATTATCTGCAATAGATAGATATTATATTTTTGAACACGCGGTGTCGTTTTTACGTTCAATCGGCCTACAGCAACCACTTGTGCCACGCGATGAAAAGGAGCGTGGTCAACAACGTACGATTTTCCTCACTTTGTTTCCCTAATATTTGGGAGAAAAAAAGGCCAAAATATGTGACAATTTAAAATATACTAGTGCGTGGCCCGTGCGATGCACGAGAAAATAATATTATATTATAAATTAAATATATAATATTATTAATTATGATTTACCCATTATTTTAAAATTAAACCAGGTTGGACACAGTCCGACCGGATGGATTGAGAACCGGGTTATAAACAGTGTTAATATGATTATTTGAAGTTTGGGGAATATTAAAAATTGAAATAAATTAATAAATAAATATTGTTGTCATATTCACATGGTAATTCTTATTAAAACTTGAAATGTATTAACAGGCTTTGAAAAATGGTTAACATGTTGTTACATGTTGAAAAATTTATGAACAAAGCCTCATAAATTGAAAAATCTTGTTAACATGTTGTCAATTTTTAATGAACAAAGCCTGTTACCATTTCAATTTTAAGTGAAAATCACGTATCTATATAACAAAGCATGTTAATCACTCTTTTAATATATTGTTAATATGATCATTAGGAAAAAAAGAATTTACTAAGAATGGTAGGTAATTAATGTTGACTGAAATTTGACTTTCCATTTTTAAAAGATGGTAATTCTTATTATATATATATAGATATATATATAAACATTTTTCGCAATCACATTATTTGTCATACACGTGTTGATGTAAATCTGAGCCAACGGTTTAGGAAAATTTCTCAAGTAAAAATTATATTAATAATGAAGAACGTCGGATGATTGTATTATTTATATTGGGAAACACCTCTGGTGTTAGTATAGTTGGAGGTATTTTTAGAAAGAAAATATTATGTTTTGTCTTTAGTACAATTAACGAGAAGTAATTATTGATGTGAGTTGCACCTCGAACTAGCTCTCCACAATCCCTTGACCGATTTGCTCGCCAAAGACCTGTAAAGACGTCGGAGGTGTTCCTGACGTTAAACCTCTGATGATCAAGTCAATAAGGTGATATGAAAAGTTGTATGGAAATATACTGAAAGTTTAGAGTGTATAAATGTGATTAGCCTCTATCTTTTCTCAATTCTACATGTTTATAGAATATTATTTGCTTTCTAAACAAGTCTTTGTTGTGCCCGATTGCCCCGCTTGTTCGAAAGGGCTACCCGTAGGTCTGTCCATCAGTTATTTGGCTATATTCTTATTCATCCGATTATCTATCTCTTTTATTTGTGACCCTACACATGTCCATTTTTAACAGCCTAGACTCGACCTACTATGTTGGTCAATCCACTTCCTATTCAAGTGAGGTACCGAGCTATCATATGTCGAGCTCTTTAATGTTTGAGCTATAAATATATCTAACTTGTCCGAGCTACGTATTTGCTGAGTTACAGACAAATCTTAGCTATCTGAGCTATAAATATATCAAAGTTGTCAGAGCTCCTTATCTGCCGAGCTATAGACATACATTAGCTATCCAACTACCTGAGCCCTTATTACTTCTAAACCAACTGGTCTATCTAATATTCGGTCTACAAACCGAGCTAACCATGACCGATTCAATCGAACTATCTTTATATGCTATATTTGTAAAACCCACGAACATTGTCCACATCCAATGATCACTCAACTGTACATGCGCCTTGTCCGCATTTAATGCGTTGTCAGAGGTCTGTTCCCTGAGAATTTCCAATTTCGTCAGTTGATTGGGTGATCGAGCTTTGTGTAAAATTAGTCTCGATGCTAACCAGTTTATTTTTCACTATTTTATTTTTTAGGTCGGATATTTATGCCACGTGTCGGTCGATTAGGGGTAAACTTCGGGTAGCAACACATAGATATAAATTGATAATTGATAATATGAAAGTAATATCTATTACTATATAATATGGAGAAGGTAAAATGTTTGAATAAATATTTCGTTTCCCGCTTAAAATTCATTTTTTCCCGCTTAAGTTTTATTTGAAATTTTTTCGTCCAAATTTGAATTGTTTTTCCAACATTCACGGTTTCCGTTTTTTTTGGGATTTTGATTTTGATCTCATTTATTTAAATTGTCATTAACGTAAAGTGGCTAAATATGAGCAATATCTGGAATCTCTTTACAACTTACACGTTTTCCTCAAATTAGGGATCTCATTTTGATCTCATCCACGAATTTGAATTGTTTTTCCAACATACACGTTTTCCTCAAATTTGTTGATACTAAATTCCTTAATTAATCATATAATAGTGTTAAATACATCTTCTAAATACAATCTTCAATTGGTTCCATAAAATCCGTATCTGATTCCATACCTGCAATATGAAAATAAAGAGTCAATTACCAAAATCTAAAAAATTCTAACGATTGTGTAAAGGAAACTTGTGAATAAATATCTCAATAATTTATGATTTGTATGATTAATCCTTAATAAATCAAAGATTTCAATTTATAGTTTTAACCAATCGTATATATTTTAAATTTATATTTTTGAAAGTAATATATTAATAAAAAGATATATGTACATTTAAATTTATACGAAAATAATTTATTAGTTGAGCAATATGTACAAATAAATAATTGATTCTCAATATATAACATGTGTTTAATAATCACTTTACAGATATTTGTTTCTTTTTAATCAAGAAAATAATCAAGTAGTGGATGTTCTTTAAAGATCTCTTCTCTCATTCAAATTCAAATACCTATAATATATTAATTAAAAACGGTAATGTATTAAAATGAGGTAATATCTCAAAACTTGATTTACTTCCATCATTTTTAAGATATCAATTTAATATTCATTTTTTTTATTTTCGAAAATCTGAAGATAAGTCTACGAAAATAATTTATTAGTTGAGCAATATGTACAAATAAATTATTGATTCTCAATATATAACATGTGTTTAATAATCACTTTACATATATTTGTTTCTTTTTAATCAAGAAAATAATCAAGTAGTGGATATTCTTTAAAGATCTCTTCTCTCATTCAATTTAATATTCATTTTTTTTATTTTCAAAAATCTGAAGATAAGTCTACAAAAAAAGGTATAATTTAGGTATAACCCATATACACACTATATAAACACCCCATCGGTAACAGATTGAGAGCACGCTCTGATCACAGAAAATTCCCCACAAATCGTCCTTTTTTTTTTCACGTTTCCCCAACTTTTCAAAATGCCTCCTGCTTTTGGTACTATTAAAGACCTCAAAAGAACTTACCGACCCTTCATTAAGCTACGCGTCATTAGAATGTTTATACGCGAGGAGGATAGAGGCTATAAAAATCCCCTCGAATTTATTTTGCACGATTCTGAGGTATTTGAATGACATCTATTTGATAACATTATTTTTTCGAAATTTTATTGTTGCATACTAATTCGAAAGAATTGTTTGTTTTATGTACTTTGTAAGGGAGGACGTATCAATGCTCTCGCCCGACCTATGCATATTGCTAATTTCATCAACCAAGTTGAAGAAGGGGTCGTTTATGTCTTGAAAAATTATCAAGTCGAAAGTAATACTGGCATTTACCAAACGACAATAAGCCTTTGGAGGCTTGTGCTGAACAAGGATACCAAATTTATCAAGTGGCCTCATCCTTTCCCCACATATCGTTTCGTCTTTAGAGATTTTGCAACTTTAATGGATATTGACAATATAGATGAAACTATGTTGTTTGGTAAGATATTATTACGTGCTTATTTTTTCTGAATTATTTTATTTAATTTGCAATAATTTTGTCGTGTATTAATTATTAAAATCAATTAACCTAAATTTCTTTATTACATCGTAATTTATAGATGTTATTGGGGTGGTTGTCGAAATACAACCAATTCAAATGAAGACGGTCAAGGGGGTGCCTACGCAAATGATTGTTTTCTCCATTATGAACTTGGAGTAAGTATATATAACATTATATATTCATGTGGTTTATAATTTTATAGATTGTTAATAGATTTCTTAACATTGTCAACATATTAACTATTAGATTCGAATTTGATTTTTTATGTGGATGCGATTAATATTCCATTGTATGATAATACTTATTCTCTTTTTTTAACGTGGAGTTTATTCGATTTTCTAGAGGAAAAAAGAAGAATTGTACCCTTTGTGGACAATATGTTGATCAACTAATCGCAATTGAGCATCATTATATGAATGAACAACAAGCGTTTGTCATAATCCTGCAAATGTGTCGTGCTAAGGTGTTCGATGGTAATATTTTAATAAATTTAAATCATAATTTTATTTATTTATTTTTACTTTTTATTTTATTGTCTAATCCCATAATTATATTTTTTATTTAGGCGAAGTGCGAATAAGCACATCAAAGGATGTTACTCTTATCATTTCGGTAGATGTTCCCGAAATTCGTGAATTTAGGAGGAGGTATATTAATTAACAATTGTTATTAATATGTATTAAATTATTAATATTTTATTTGATAGTATTTAAATATTTTTATTTTTCAACCATAAGGTTGGTTGCTGGTACATTAAGGAATACCCACTTGGTGTCCAATAGCTCGATTATTGTCAAAACTGAAATTCAACAACTCGAGGATGGTGACATCGTCGTTAGTACTGTTGATTCGCTATATGATAGTGAGGAGGTAATTTATAATATTATTTATTTGAATCATATTTTTTAAATTATAATTATTTTCGATTTATAACATTTAGTAATATATTTAATTGTTTTATTGTAGGCTAAGGACATTTGGGTGTGTGCAACAATTAACTCCATCATAGATGAATGGTGGTACTTGGCATGTACTCGATGTAGTAGTGCTATGGAGACTGATGGAGGCAATCATAGATGCCGAAAGTGCACTCACAATCGCGGCATATTTCGGTATGTTCTTTATAGTTTCTTAATTTGTGTTGATGTTAATTAATTACACGATTACGTCATGACACGATCAA